TTACGATTCCAATGGAATAAATTATGACCATGGAATATTAGTGTTTAAGCCTTTTTATTATATCCTTACTCTTTCCTGACATTGAGTTCTACCTGATTCTATCCTCTTGGAATTTTTATACAAAATATATATATGTATGTGTATGAATGTATGTATATATATTTATATATTTTGCTTATCTATGTGTATATTTACTACTAATATCATATATATATATATATATATATATATATATATATATATATATATATATATATATGTTTTTATATAGAATTTTTCTAATCATAATAATGTGCTGATTATACGTATCAGCAGCTTGTAATTTTCTTTGTGCTGCATTTTATATATATTTCTAGGTATACTAACAAATATTTACCTTTGATGTATATCCTAAGCAAAAAGCAGAATTCGGAATATCCTACGTTTTAAGAATATCCAGACATACTTGCCTTTAGTAATGCGATATGGCCAATGCTATGGAAAACACACGACACAAATGCCGGCATAATGATAGTGTGTCTGCGAATCAAACAGAAAAACAATCTACAAAGGTATTGACAAAGACCAAACAAAAACACGAACAGATCGTTATACATTTTTTTTTATACGAGTATAGGTCAAAAATTGATATTTGTACAGTAATAGTTATAAGTTTGAAGAGTAAAACCACGCGGTGTATTCAAAACAAATACAAAAGTCAGTAGATTCAAAATCTAGTCGCCAAAAGAATCTACATCCATCTCAATCGCATCGTTCCATCGAGGCATATCTCCTCTCAACTCGGTTTGCGTAGGATCTCGATCACTGGAGACCATCTACATTTCGTGGGTCAAAACAGAGACTTTATCAAAGCAAATGTAATGATCTTATTTTGCAACAGATATTTATAAACAGAAACAAAAATACTTTTGGAAAAATAAAATCATTATATTTGCCTTGATAAAGTCCATCAGAGGACGTAACGCGTTTACCTTTTGACTTTATTCATATTGTCCTTTTTATAGATATATTTTTAGCTATATAAGAAATTTTGCAAACACACAGGCACATTATATATATATATATATATATATATATATATATATATATATATATATATATATATATATATATATATATATATACGAAAAATGAATTTCTTTTGTATGACCATTTTTTTTTTTTTTTTTTTGCAGGACCTAGGTACCTTTCGGCCAACGCTTCATCAGGGTCTTTCGTTGGTAAATGATTTTAAACAAACAATGAAATGAAAAGAACGCCAAAATGGTATGGTTGAACACGTCTAAAATTTTACGAAGATATATATACGTAAAATTAAAATAAATTTACGATTAAAATAAATGCGTAAATAATAAATTAATAATAATGAACCAACCTGAGCAGTAAAATAGAAAATAAGTTGCTCATATATCAAAAAAATAAATTTAGCGATCGTGAAAAATTCTCCTTTTGTTTAGAAAGCGATGGTTTAAATAATAGTACCTAGGTCCTGCAAAAAAAAAAAAAATGGTCATACAAAAGAAATTCATTTTCTTTAAATCATTATATTTGTTTTTGTGGTATCAAAACATTATTCCAATATATATATATATATATATATATATATATATATATATATATATATATATATATATATATATATATATATATATATCTTTCTATTGTGTGTGTATGTCACCAAAATGTATCCTTTCCAGTTACATCTTTAATGTATTAGACATTCGACAACATTCATATTTCTCTCACTTAAACCATCCTTGACTCCCCTCTTTAAAACTTCTCTCTATTAAAATTTAATCCCCCCCCCTTCATCTTTAGACCTTCCTGCTCTTCTCCTGTTCTTCTCTCGTCTGTTACCCCTCTCTATAGCTCTAACATTCCTCCCACACTCTCATACTTAAATGATTAAAGGGGATTAATTTTTTTTTTTTTATCTCTGGAGTTGTTTTTTTCTGTTTTCTTTTTGAATTTGTAGGTCTGATGAATTGGATCGTATTTACAATTCCAATGGAATAAATTATGACCATGGAATATTAGTGTTTAAGCCTTTTTATTATATCCTTACTCTGTCCTGGACATTGAGTTCTACCTGGATTCTATCCTCTTGGAATTATTTTTTTATACAAATATATATATGTATGTGTATGTATGTATGTATGTATGTATATATATTTATATTTTGCATATGTATGTATATTTACCACTAATATTATATATATATATATATATATATATATATATATATATATATATATATATATTTAACTATATATATATATATATATATATTTAACTATTATATGTCCACCTAGAAAAGAAACGCTAGTTAATAAGAGTAACCCAAACCATTTACATAAATTTTAAACACAAAGATTTTCTTTCATAAAACCGTATGTCGACTGTTGTATTATTAGAGGATAACGCTCTTAAGGCAGGCAGTCTTTGTAGATAAAGTGCTCACGATTAAGAAATAGGTCATTAAAATTAAGAAAAATTTAAGTTCAAAAACGTATTAAAATCGCGAAATTTAAAACTTTTGAAATTTTTTTAACATTTGTGTATCAATTTATTATATATATATATATATATATATATATATATATATATATATATATATATATATATATATATATGGTGGCCCCAAAAAACGGGAATTTTTGAAGTGTGTATTGCCAGACATGAGAGAGTATCAACACTGCGAGACAGTGACCTTGAGCAAGTAAACACTTCACCATTTAGAATTCAAGATGAAATTCACAGTATCCCAGCTGCGATGTTGCAGCAGTCAATGAGAAATCTCAACAGCAGATTTCAAGAATGCATTCGTACAGGAGGACGCCATCTACAGGAAATATTTTTATAAAAATGAAAATTCCATCATTGTTTCTTAAGTGGCATGTTTTAATGTTTCAATTAGTATGAATAAAAATTTTTTCCATCATTCTTAGTTTTATTGGATTGCTAAAATGTTCCTGTTTTTGGGGTCACCCTGTATATATATATATATATATATATATATATATATATATATATATATATATATATATATATGTTTAAATTTTGCTTTGTTCATGGAAAAGAGTGATCACTATCGGATATATACAGTCTGGACAAGGTCTGAAGATCGCTTGTAACGTGAAACTGACAATCACCATGCGCTGATGATTTTTATGCCTTCTCTCTCTCTTTCCCTCTCTCTCTCTCTCTCTCTCTCTCTCTCGCCCTTATATATATATATATATATATATATATAGAGAGAGAGAGAGAGAAAGAGAGAGAAAGAGAGAGAGAAATAAAGAAAGGAGGCCTGAGAGAGATAGAGATGCAGACAAAGATGGAGACAAAGATAGATGTGTGTGTAAAGAATGTTTCAAGTAATTTCCTAGTGTCTGACGGGGGCGTTTTCTTAAATGTGTAACATTTTCACATTAACAATTTACTTAATGAGAATTGAAAGCTTTTCTAGTGATTATGATCGACATAATCGGCTTCTTCATTATCCTCTGCGATAGTTTCCTTGAACTGTCATCCTTGTCGTGTCACCTTTTGATCGATAGAATCATTATCATGCTGGCCAAAACAAGCTCACCATTCTTTGCCGTCATTTCTTAGTCATTGTCATCATTTTTGTGATGGCGATCTTTAACCTCGCAATTAATTTTAGATGCAAGATTTTTTGGCCTTATCAGCATAAAAATTTTATTCTTGCTTCTTATAACTTTTTAAGAATAAAATTCTATCTGAAATTGTTTTCATCGTCATTTCCATTATCATCATTGGATTCTAAATTGTTCTCATTAGAGATATAATTATTTCAATCCTTTATTTTGAGCTTTTATTTTTTGCCTGATAAAGTGTGTATCTGGATTATTTCAATATAAGGCTAGGGACAGTGTCTTCGCGGGATGTCGAGGTAATGGAAAGTGATCGACCATTGGTTAATTAACATTTACGGAAGATCGATAAAGGGACATTTTTTTTTAATGATTTCACCCCAAACAAAACGGGAATGCCACTAGTGCGCACAGGGTTACAGGGAGTAAAAGAGAAAACTGAGAATAAGGAGGATTAAGGAAATGACAAAAGATGAACGGATTCAAAAAGATAAAAGATGGCGATTGATGTCGAATTTAAATTTTTGAAGATTGTAGTTATCATAGAAACAAGTAAATGGAAGGGAGTACGAGAAAAAAAAAGAACTGTTGGAGTAGGAATGGCAGTTTCATTTGGTTATTTTAACACCTAGACATAGATGTCAATCTAGTTGCATGTATTCGGTGCACCAGGGAAAAAATCTCGTCAAAGAAGTTGCCATGAAAATATTTGTAGAAAAGGCATATGAAAGCCACGTTACGTCGGTGAGAAAGTGACTGAAGTTGAGATCACTGGTCAGGATCGATTATATTACAGATACTTCTTTGGATTTTGTCAAGAATATAGGAATATGCAGGAGAAGATCCAGACGAGATATGGCAACAGAATTCAATACACCGGTGAATGGTAGATTTGTAAATATGCAAGATGGATTCTGATGAGAAAGCTTTTATGGTATGACACAATGTCTCAGCCCACTTTAACACAGTTTGAGCGTCCTCGATAGGATATCAGAAACAGAATTAATAAAAATGAAGAAATAGAAAGCGATAAGATAAAATGCAACTCCCTACACTCAGCGCTTTACGCTTTGATACGTATTCGTGTTTAAAAATAAATTGATTAACTTTTTTTCATTCGTTTTCCACAGCTTATCAATCGTTTGCAGGTTATTTAAAGCCAGAAAATATTTTTAGATTGAAATATTATTTTGGAGGTTGGAGATAATAATTTAGTGATAAAACTGTTATTAATTAAACCATAGCTGGAGGGAGAAGAGGTGGATCCACACGTTTCACGAGGGTATTTGCGCGTTACCGAATATAACGAACCCAACTGGAATTGGAAATCGGTTCTAAAATTAACAATTCCGAGCCATTATCCATTACATCGCCCGCACATCCAAGCTTACAGCACCTGCTATTCCCAAGCGGCCGCCCATCTAGCTACTGACCAAGCGTGACGTTGCTTAACTTCAGTGATTGTACGGAAATAGGTGTTTCAACGATATATGGCCGTAAGATACGTTTTTAAATTAAGAAATCCCCGCTGAAGACAAAGAATAAAAATGAAAACAATGATATTTTTTATGCATCGCGTTCGCCTTTTAATCTCATTATGATTTTAAGAAGGCTAAGGATTCTAACTATAGTGAACAGTGTTTTCATACAGTGTCAGTCGTATTCTAGAAAGGAATAAAACTACCACTAGCAGAAAATATAGCGATTCCTTAACCAAAGAGTTGTTTTCGACGTACGACACAAAACTGCAACTAGACCTGACTGTACGAGAGCAAAAAAATGTAATGATCACAGAGTTTCTACATTCTGCAATGATTAAATAGAAATGTTTTATTTGGGATTTTAAAGAATGGACATTATAAAAGTATATAAAAATATACGAGAGTGAGTCAAAAAAATAATCCAAGTTGCTTTATTATATCCGAAATAACAAAGTCTAGGTAGTCCGTTGCATTTTCGTAACTGAGTCCTGCATGTCTCATTCCGTATGTGCCGCAGAGGAAGGTCATGAAATCACGTGTATAGATCACATCCTGGCAAGTTGTGGTTCACATTAAACAAATTCTCGCCATCGACACTTTCTTCTACTCTGATTTTCTTTCACCTCCAACCAACTCTTGCAAAGCCAACCGGCGATAGGAGATGGGTAACGGAAGCAGGTTTGGGTGAAACCGGAAGCTTCTAGTCCTAAACGTGCAAGTTGGTGGAGAATTTAGTCATCAACGTCATCATCAATCAACGAAGAAATTAAATTCTTGAATACGAGAAAAAGACGACAATAAGAAATAAGGAATACCATTAAACATATCATACATGAAGATTTACCTATATGTCATAGGTTCACCTCCCTTCTTCTCAATATAGCCGCTTTCTATGACAGTGTTTTACCTCCGAATGAGGGAATAATTCCCAGCTTGGTAAAACTCAGCTGGCTGCTAATGTGACTAATTCCTTACATCAGTTTTCGCTTCTTCTTCTTCACCACTTGGCTTAGAAACTGCCGACTTCCATCTCTTTGAACCAAATCTCTTTGGAAAGATGCGTTGTTGCGCAAACATTTTGTGGTGCATTCGTGGGTGGAACACTGCCATGTAATGCTATATCTTGATGTACGTTATACTTCATTGTGTTCTTTATTTCGTATATAATAAAGAAATACATTCATTTTGTAATCGCCCTCGTATATATGTAAATATGTCAAAACAAAGGGTAGAAATAGAAAAGATAAGCAATTAAATAAATACATTATTACACGCAGTAAAATAGCGGTTCAAAAAATATAACGAAAAAAACGACAAAAAGGGTATTTAATAAATGAGAAGAGACTCGGGGCGACAGAGATGTGGTTCTACAGAAGGATGCTAAGAATATCATGGAATGAACATGTGAGCAACGATGAGATCTCAGAAACGTTGAAAACAAGGAGGAGGCTTATACTTAATATCAGGAAGAGGCAGCTGAAGTTTCTGGGACACACAATGAGGAAGGAGGGCCTGAAGAATCTGATACTCACAGGTCGAATAGAGGTAAAGAGAGACAAGGGAAAACAACACGTGACATACATGGCGGATTTAAGCAAGTGGATAACAGAACGTGGCCTGGGCGAGGAAACAGAGGGAAAGAACTAAAAGATATAAATGAAGGGGAAGAGCCATGATCGCCTACATCCTGAAGGGACATGGCACATAAAAAGAAAAAAGAAAGATTCGTGCCTCGTCTTTTATCAGATATTCCTTACAGTAGTCAGCAGAACATATTCGAGTCACTATTTGAGAGTACTTGAGAACCTATATTAAATCTAAGCAAATTTCCCTCTCTAAACAGAAAGAATGGTTGCTAGGTTTAAATTTAATGTCATTTATACTAATGATTCTCTGGTAAAATATTTCTTCCAACCCTCACCACCACTTTCTTTTAATCGTTGTGCATATATTTTTTGTCTTCCATTGAATACTGAAGAGTGAGGAGTTGCAACCGGTTAGCCTCTTTTTTTTTTATATTTTTCGATCCATCACTTTACAGTGAGTATTTTTTTCTTTCCTTTGCTTTTTCTAGCTATTCCGCTCTCTAAATTGTTTTAATTATTTGTACATGGAAGATTGATGTTTAAATACAGTAAATTCGACCTTGCTAACCGAACGCTCCTTCGTGGCCAAATTGGTCAAGGCACGGTTCCGTATATGATACAGGTTCGAATCCTATCGGAGGACGAATATTTTCTGTGAAAATTTCTCGGACATTCAGGCCGGTTAAATGTTGTTTAATACTGTTTATTATAAAACAGAGCATTTACTTAAATATTTGTATCTATAAAAAGAATGTATAAAAATGTCTTAAAATATATATATATATTAATCAATACAATGATTTGCTTTCATTCTTTAATAGTTTTGTTGAACCTGTGTGCTTCAGTGTTTATGAATAAGTTCATTGGTTTTATTGTAGGTGTTGTCGTTATTTAGGAGGGATTCTAATTTTTCAGTGTTGGTGTCCATAATAACGATACCGCCTCCTTTGTCGAATAGGGTTATAATAATGTTTCTGTTCATGCACAAGTTTTTTTTTTTTTATTACTTGTATGTATCTCCTGGGTCGTGTAGTCACGAGAACGACAACATATACACGAAAACTAATGAATTTACCATAAACACTGAAACACTTCAACAAAACTATCAAGAAATTCTTGAAAAATGAAAACAAATCTTGGTCTAGATTAATAGATTAGCACCCCACTATGCCCCAAACGTACACACACACATATATATATATATATATATATATATATATATATATATATATATATATATATATGACACATAATTTGAACTCAATCTAAATTTTAGTACTTCTCAGTAAGTTTTGAGTTAATTTTTGGCCTTTTGATATATATATATATATATATATATATATATATATATATATATATATATATATATATATATATATAAATGACAATAGGAAAACTGTAGTTATTAAGCTGACGCGTTTCGTCCAATGTGGACTTTCTCAAAGCAAAAATCGAAATGAATTTAATTAAAGAATGTAACTAATAATAAAAAACTTTCTAATAACAAAAAACAGAAAGTTTTCTCGTGTAGTCATGTGTGACATCATGAGATGCGGTGCGATTTTCGCTTCTAGCGTCTTATATGCGCGTGTTTATCGTTGCTTAGTGATCAACTATGTAAACAATGACAGACTATCATCACTGTCGTGTCCGCATATTGTTTAATATGTTTGTGATTTACAACTTTGATAATGGCTTAAGTAAGCCGAAAGCTTAGATTATATTAAAAAAATATGGATCAATATTGTGAATTTCTTTCTTCGTTTAATGATAATGTTATCAAACTTATCAGATGTTACGAACAAATTTTACATAAAATAGATAGACAACACTTGTTGATATTATTTAATGAAACGTATATATATATATATATATATATATATATATATATATATATATATAAAACTTTGGTGTTATATCTTTTATTATTATTATTTTTTTTCTCCCTGTCCATTCATTCACGTCATCCGCGACAGACTTTATTCTCATAATTTGTTTCCCCCGTTTACAGTTCTGACGAGAGGGACGAAACCGGTCGACTTGTGTTTTGTGTTTTTGTTTTAAAATTTATCGTGGCCTATAGTAAAAAATTCTTGCCTTTTAATGCCATAATACGTTTTTTACCGTTAAAAACATATTTAAATATATATATATATATATATATATATATATATATATATATATATATATATATATATATAAAGATAGGTGTCCATAAATTCTCTTCACAATTTAAAAATATATTACAAAGGCAATTAATGAGATATCTTAATCAGATTTGTTCTATGAACCCCTAAAATTTCAAGACCGGTGGATTGGAAGGGACTGCCTAATTCCCTGGACACCTCTTTCATCAGATGTCACTCCCCTGGACTTCTTTTTATGGGGTTATGTTAAAGATATTGTCTGTCGAACAAAGATGCGGAGCATCATTAATCCAAAATAAAAGATCACTGATGCCATTGCCATCATTGATGAGGCTATGCTACAGCGATTATGGCAAGAAATCGAGTACCGTCTTGATATGATTCGTGCAATTGATGGTACCTATGTAGAGTATAGTGTATTAAATTAGTTAAAGAAACTTCATTATCCACTTCTTATTTTGTAACAATGTCCACATATTTGTCTGTTCATTTGCTTTTGTAATATTTTTTTTAAATTGCAAAGAGAATTTATGTATACATACTAAGCTTCGAAAAATATAGCAGACTATTGATAGTGTATTGAGTTCAAAATTTAATGGGTGCTCTTCATTTGTGAACCTGAATGATTCAAATATAAGTTAAACGTTTTACTATCTAAACACTAGCGTATGATATCATTGACAGGAAAACAAGCCAGTAGTCCCACAACACTAAGGTCCTCTTTAAATATGCCATTGTGGTCCTGATGGCTAATATGAACAAGGACCACCTGATTCGGATACGCTAAACAGGTTTTACTGCTAAATACTTTTTCAAAGCAATGCACCTTCATTAGTGTTTTGTTATGCAGTCGTATTTAGCTGGCAAATCAAGCAAATTATGCTTTATATAATTACCGTAGCTTTATACTTGTGATCTTATGCCCAGCTCAAAAGCTTAGGATTGTCTGGGACAAAGCAAGTAATAATTAGTAAATAGATGCACTTCATATTTTACATATAACCAAACCTTTCTCTCTCCCTGAAAAAAATAAAGCTTTCCCGAATCGGCATGAAAAATTGAAAAGAAAATGTTTGTGCATGTATATGGATGATGTTTTTATTTGTGTTTTTGTTTCTCATTTGCTAAAATACAGGCGAGAGGCTTTTAAATGTTCTAGGCCCATCGAAGAAACCCTGTTATAAAATCTTTTGTTTGGCCTTATTGTGAAATGTAGGTGAGGCCGAGAACTTCCCAGTCTCACCCATGTTATTTAATCTTTTATCTCACAACAGCTGAATATAGAT